GGTCAATTTATTGGAAATATGTAGACAGTTTTCAATGGATGCAATGGCCACAAGCGTATTCTCTAGTAAAATTGACATGAACATATTTGTGTCAATGGCCAAGAATCAGCTATATGTTACCCCATTCAAAGAGCTGGCACAATTGTTATTGCCAAATGGTTTAAAGCGATTTCTACCCAAAGGGGACCCCACAGCAACAAACTTTTTCGTTGACTCCATTCGACATATAATTTCGCAAAGAAGGCAAAACTCAGATTTAAAACACAATGACTTTATTCAACTACTTATGGCCGCGAAAATAGATACTACTAATCTTGGTAGAATAAAAATCACTTCAGCAGGTGATATGTTTATTGAGGAGCAAGGTAAGGATTTTTGCTAGTAATTTGTTTAGCATTTTGCATATTAAATTTTCATTTATAATCAATAATTTATTACTGTATGTATGCATATTAAAATTACGCTACATAATTATAAAATATTTATTACAATGGTCATGTCGTCTTTAAATGTAAAATTATTTTATAGTTACAAACCGGTTGTCAAGTGAGGGAAACAGGAGGTCATGGGATAAGCAATTATCCGAAAACGAGATGATAGCACAAGGATTTGTATTCCTTGTGGCCACGTATGGGGGAACGGCATTAACCCTGGCGTTTAGTATCTACGAAATGGCTGTTAATGAAGATATTCAGCGCCGACTATACGATGAGTTAACAGAAGCTATCGATTCGGAAACGGGAGAAATCCCTGACGACGAGTTGGCACGACTACCCTATTTGGATGCAGTCATATCGGAAACTTTACGGCGCTATACAGCTCCGGTGCCTTTAGCAAGGTATTGCACACAAGACTGTAAACTAGGTGATACCGGTATTGTAATTAAAGCTGGTCAACAGATTGAGATCCCAGTGCACGCTATACACCATTCGGACCTGAATTATAAAGATCCTTTCATATATGACCCTGATAGATTTATGCCCGATCAAAAACAGTTGATTAGGCCGTACACGTATTTGCCGTTTGGGGCGGGACCTCGACATTGCGTGGGTATGCGTTTCGCGCTATTCGAAATCAAATTGGCCCTTGCTCATATCGTATTGCGCTACCGATTCCTACGATGCCCACAAACAGACGTTCCCATAAGATATGAGAAGTTTATTCATCAAACACTTCCGATAAGTGCGTCCGTAATAGTTCAGAAAAGGGATAATTATAATTAATCTGATTGACCATGTTATTAGCTATTTTAATTTAGTTAGTGATATATTATGTTGTTATCAGTGATTTCCACTTAATACAAATTATAACATTTTAACATTATTATAATTTTAACACTAGTACATGCCCCTAAATTTTGTAAGTCACTGGCTATTATAATGTTATCTTAAAATGGCAGCAGCACTCTTGATCATTAACCAAGATTAGCTTACATTCTGATTGTATTTGTTTGTAATTTAGTACATAGTGCAATAAATAATAATTAAAATTTAATCGTTGATAATTTTAATATAATTAAAATACAGTGTTATTTTTGTCATGTCTGTCTATATTTATTTGATACATTTATTTCCAGCGAATTGTATGTATTCAAAATTATTTCATATTGTAATTCTAATAATATTATTAACTGTGAATGTTACTCACTTTTATAATTCATTATTTATACTATATCTTAATTTGATAAATGTAATAATAATTTTAATATAATTTAATTAATTGGTATAATTTATTTAAAGAATACATTTCAGAAAAACAAATACATTGTATATTTAAAATACAGATATAAATGTACAACAACGGTAATATTTGAATATTGTATCTAGAATAAATTTAATATAATTCAGCATTAAAAGTCAATAAAAATAAACAATAGACACACACATAGGCCACTTCTTCTATACGAATACCATATGTAATTGTCCATGCTACTTATATTTTGAGCTTCTATTCAATTACTAAATTCTTGCTTCAATTCCAACGAATAGCCTCTCGGGAAGCATAAAGTGAATGAATTTCTGGTAACGAATCTGGTCATCAGTTTCAGGACACCTACTGAAGCGATAGTTTCTAATCAATTGAGCAAGGGACATCTTGATTTTCAAAATGGCGAATCGCTTTCCCACGCAATTTCTTGAGCCACTACTGAATGGCAAAAAAGTATACGGCTCAATGGTACGGCGATTTTCTGCCAAAAACCTATCCGGGTTAAAACGGTGGGGATCAACAAAATACTTATCCGAATTGTGTATGGAATAGATGGGTATTTCAATTTGTTGACCGGCCTTAATGGTGATACCGGTGTCGCCAAGTGTGTAGTCAATGGCTGCGATCCGTGAGATCGGCATAACAGCTAAATGCCGGCGCATTGTCTCCGATAAGACGGCATCCAAATAGGGTAGTCGTGCCAACACATTGTCGTAAGGTATCTGTCCGTCGGAATCGATGGCACCGTATATCTCGTCGTATAGTTTCTGTTGGACGTCCTGATTGAGGGCCAACTCGTGTAGACAATAGGACAGTGCGATACAAGTGGTCTGATTTCCAGCCAATAGAAATCCATACGCATTGGCTATCATTTCATTTTCAGTCAAACGTTTATTCTTGAACTTCATATTTGGTCCCTGGGTATCTACTGTATATAAAACAATTTTGATTATTGTATTACTAATTTATAAATGTAAACTTAAAACAAATTTTTATATTGAAAAATTTCATAAATCAAAATAACTTATTTGTTAATAAAATATAAACATTGACCTTTATCCAATTCGTCTATAAGCCGTGCCTCCAGGAATAGTTGAATAAAATCGTCGTGCCTTTCATCAGGGTTTTGACGTCGCTTTGAAATAACATTGCGAATAATACCAACAAAATAATCATTTGTATTAGTATTGGACATTCCCAACAAACGATGCAGTGATCTTGGTATCATTATTGTCATAAACTCACGATAACCACTGAAAATAAACTTTTTCTGAGCGTTTTCGACAAATAAATTATTTTCCAATTGACCATAAATATTAATTTCAATACCAAACGCGCAACGTGCAATAACATCCAAGGTGAATATATTAAATAGTTCCAGTGCATCCACGTTGATACTCTTATTACTCATTAATAAATTATCAATGTGTTTTGTAAAGTTATCTAGGCAGTCCTTTATTTTCGGTTCAAATCTACGTAATTTTCCGGACGTAAATAAGGGACTCACTATTGAACGAACTCTACGCCATTGATCGCCGTGTAGTTGAGGAAGATTTTTGCT